GATGCAGCTCTGAATTTGTTGGATAGTAATATAGGACATGTAAATTAGTTCATGTGGAGGCAGAGCTATTTCAGAAGTTGCAGGGTTTTTCATTTCTATTTAAAAAAAAACAAAACCACAAACCAAACCAAAATAGAACAGCATGCTTCCCATGGCAGAGAGGGCTTACTGTACGACTACTGACTTCGCAACAGTGCCTCTGTTTTTCATTAATGACCTTTAAGCCTTATAGCACCCCTCCTAGGCAAAATATCATGTTGCCTCCTTATTCCCCTCCTGGTGAGCGTATTCCATTTTCTTAAGCTTGTGTGTACAAAACTGAATTTCATTTTTCCACCACATAGCGTTCGGTGTTATTTTAGTACAGTTCCTCCATGATGTTCTATGTTGTAATTTGAGCCCAGGGGTTTGCTTGCTCTTCGGATCAGTAAAGAAATCAAATAAGCAAAAGCTATCTTTCTGCCTCAGATCTCTAAGGATTTGCAGTTGCCTGAAGAGGGTAAGACCAGATGCCACCTGTGTTAAAAATGTTTCTCTTCTTAAAGATACAAATCTCTGGGCTAAATTCACCAGTGCTTTAACGTCATGAATAGAATCAGGCTGTGTCCAGCGGGACGTGCGTCTTGAATTGTCTGTCTCCTGGACTAGCATGTGAGCATAGGCACATTTCTTGAGTCCTGGAGAAAAAGAGAAGTATATGTGAATTACTCTTCGGAGGCTTGTAAAGTCATATAAAAATTTATGGGCTTGATGCATTATTCAAGGTACATAATTTTATTACAGATCTGAGCAACACTTGGGACAACTGATTTATTGTTATTGTCATATTTTACATAATGAATGTTTTACGCAGAAGATTTTACTGCGTGTATTTTAAAAAGTACAGGGCAATTCTTTGGAAAATGCCAGCCTAAGCTTATTTTTAAGGAAAGCAGACTTTTATACGCAGGCAAAAGTAATCTATTTGTGTCGTGGTATACAAGCCATTAGCTAATAAATGATGGAAAGAATCTCATCATTTAATCCAGTGCACTTCTATTAGCATCTTATTTGGGGTAGAGGCTGGAAAGCAAAAACAGATATGTGCCTTAAGATACAATACCATTCCTCTCTGTAATAACATTTTTATCATATAATAGACATTATTTGTTAGCAATTGTGCGTAGATGGTGACAAATGTCAGGTTTATATCTCTTTGCAGCCATGAACTGGTTTTGATTGAACGTGAAGGATGGGATTCATCTCGTTCTAACAGCATATGCCTGATGACATCTAAGGCTAGACCGCAATCTATGATCAGTGCCTAAGATTGGTGGCTTGAGTTGTTCCCTGGAGAAGGCAACCACCTTAGATATTGAAAACCAAATATTAGACACTTCAAGTCTAAGAGAAGTAACTACCAGTTGACTGGTTTGGCATTAAAACTGGAAACTGAATCACAGCAAAATGTTTTCATTTCAGTATGCTGCTGCAGATCCTCATTGGCACTGGTTTTGGTTGCTACCTCCCAGGTTCCTACCCTGATGAAATCTCCATGTTAGCAATAAATTCCCTCTTGCTGCCTGCTGGGGAGTCCAGCCTGTGGAGGAGAATGGCAGACCACAGATTTTAAGAGTCACTTCCCAAAACACATGAAATATTTAGCTACGCAGCAAAGCAGTTTCCTTTTTGCTCCAGTGTTGAAACTGATTTAATTTGTCACTGGTTTATGCTGTTTTAAAAAAAAAAAAAGAAAAAAAGTTGAGGCTTAGATATTTGGGGATTTGATCTTTAAATTAGGAACTTGAAACAGTCCATTTGTACTTGTCACTGCTGTTTCATTACCCGTTCCACTGCTTCCATAGTGTGGGCGGAATATTCCTTCACGAAGCTGAAACTCGCAGTCTTTTCTCAAAGACCCTAATGAAGATAAATTGTGCAGTCAGCAGTTGTTTTCTTTCCAAGAATTCTTCTTAATTTTGTACTTTGTGGATGGTTCCTGCTACATTAGATATCTTTTTCCTTTGAGTGCGGTGATCCAAAATCAAGCGCGTAAGAGCTACAGGATGTGGAAGAGTGCTGCACAACTTTGTTTACAGCCTGCCTAAAGCAACCTTTCCATAAGCTGACATTTGGTTACATGGGACACACGGCAGAGCTGCAGTCTGCTGTAGTGTGACTCAATCATTCATGCTAGAATCCCTTTGCCTATCACTCCTCTGGACACGAGTGGTACATCTGCACAGCTAGAAGGGCTTTTCCATCCGTAATTCTTTGCACAAGGGAATTCTAGAGTCACGAGCAGTTACCATGAGGTGCTTGCATGTCTGATGATGTGCTGAAAAATCAGCCTCACCAGACCCCCTGTGAGCTTAGGCTCTATATAAGTAGGACTGCATTTCTTCCAGATGGGAGAAAAAAAATCAGCTGACCCCTGACTGAGTTTGAACTCTCATCTGTACAATATTTTTAGAGTGAAAACAGCAGTTCTGACTGAATAAGAAGCTGGCAATATATTGAACTAATTGCATTTACTACTGAGTTAGACCATACACACCTGAAAGAAATGATCTGAAATCACTGGAACTAAGCTTAGTTTTGCAATCTGCACGGTTTCCAGGCCATATCTAGTCCAAGGCAATAGTGTAAGAAAGTTTCTTTAATTTGTGATTGAAATGCATTTCTCTCCAAAGGTTGCCAAGCTAGACTCTTGTGGTAGAGTAGGTTTTGTCTGCTAATTAAATTACTCAGTTGTTGTTTCTATTTGGGCTTTACTGTAGGATGTGGTTTTCCAGCTTGTCCTGTTAGGAGTAGATACTGCACTTGTTAATGAAGAACAGGACTGGATCTTCTGTTGACAAACTCGTTTCTATTTACTGCCATGAAATGCCAGGATGAAACTTGGCCCCTTGCACAAATACTTGTCCCCTGGACACTGCAGAATCCGAACTTCTGCTGTTGCATGAAGATGGCTTTTGCCAGGCGCACTGGGTGAGGCCTAAAGCCTTCTAGCTCGAGATCCTGCCTCCAGCAGCAGCTGGAGTAGTGGGTGCATGGGGAACAGTGTGGTCACCAAGTTGGGGACAGGGTGGTACCTACCCAGTTATGGCCTCCCAGCTTCTAGCTTTCACTGTTGTGTGGGCTGTTGGAGGAGGAAGCACAGCATCTAATAACTCTCCCATGTTTATCTTCCATTAATTTGCCTAACCATTTCTTGATTTCATTCAGGCTTTTAACCTCTGTATTGCTGGGGGACAATGAATTTTGTAATTCATTACATGTTTTGTGGAAAAGTACTTCTTGATTTCTGCTGCTTCTAAATCTCCCCTCTGGTAATTTCTATGGATTCCCAGTAGTTCTTATATTATGAAAAGTAGTAAATAATAACTCCCTGTCCACCTTCTCTGTGCTATTCATGATTTATTGACCACTGTCAAATTCCCCTTTTTTCCCGTGCTGAAAAGTCGTGTTCTGTTTACTCTTAGCTCATACAAATCTACGCCGTTCAAAGTGCTGTATAAGCAGTTGTGGTAATTAAAAGAGGTAAATTAAACATATACCTGAGCCCAGAGACTTAGAAGCATGGAGAATTTGTGGCTGTAGCTGACATTGGAAGGCATCTTTGGGCTGAAAACCAGGGCCTTCATGTAGAGATATGGAGGAATCAGTAAGGATACTCACAAAGGGATTCAGCTGTGTCTGAGCTGGAGAACAGCATCAAGCCACGTGATAAGCATTCTGCAAATCTCTGCTCCATTCAAATGCTGCGAAATATTTATTGTCCATGCTGAATGTAAGCAACTAGGCTTTCTGAAATGATCACCCCCCCAAAATTACTGTACAGTAACTTGAAAGATACTTAGTTTTACCTTCCAAAGATCCAAGGACAATGTTGTCCCTGTTTCGTTCTGGCACAAGAGTTTTTGAGCGCTAGGGGTTTTGAATCCAAACCCCGAAGACTTTGGTGCTACCAATGGACTGTCTATTCCTGTACCCCAGGAACTGAAAATCTGCTGAAGGGGAATGTTTTTAGGAGCAAAGCTATTCATACGCGAGTCTCAAATTATCTTCAATAGCATGCTCAGCCAAATCTGAAAAAAGAATACAAGTACACATTAATTAAGAATTAACATAATTCTGTTCCTTGAGTATGGCATTTATTAAAATATAAACTCTGTGAACATACACTTGAGAGGAAGCTTCTAAATATTTTTAAAAGCTTAATTTTCAGTCACCCTTTATTTATTTTTTCATTAAGAGAGAAGAAAGAAGATGGCACTTGACTTTCTGAAACTTTCCATTTGCTTCTCAGATACAGCATCAAAAAGTTGCTGAGTGTCCTTAACTCTGCTGATGGGGCAAAACCAGGAATGATTTAGATTTATGTGAAAAGCAGAGATATGGGATGCCATTTTTCAAAAGCGCCTGAAAGACGCATTTGTTCAGACAACTAAAGGACGAAGAAAATTCCAGGATTTCCAGGCATATGTGCTGACCGCTAAGGCAGTTTTGCACGTTGGAATTTTGAGAAACTTACATTCTTAGGCATTGAAATGCTTTTAGAAATTCGATGGTTTGTTGTCACACTACAAATGAGTTTTAAAAAAATAATTCTATGATGGAAGACCCAAGCATGTGGTTACTTCCACCGCTGCTTGGAAAATAGGGTTTAGCCTTTGTCCTGCCACACCAAGTAGGACAACACCTAAATACCCTTGTAGGTGTTGATGAACAGTCCCTTGGCAGTGGCCTGGGCTCTCACACCACCTTTCAGTTAGCCACGCTGTTTGGAAATACTGGTGGTCCACCGGAGGCTTTACACCCCAGAAAGCATTCTTCCCTAGGCTTGCTGGTGTGCGAAATGCACAGCATGACAGGGACCAGTTTGTGTCCAGATGCATCTCACAGAAAGAAGAGGGCAAAGCTTACTAACGATTCTCGGCTTCCCCTCAGTTTGTGTTCCTCTTTGCCTGGCACATCTGTTTTTCTGCTTCTTTACTGAACCTCTTTGTGTTTTGCAGAATGCCAAAGCCAGCTACGACTTCAGCAGTAATGATCCCTACCCTTACCCCCGCTACACAGATGACTGGTTTAACAGGTAAATGGGTTTTGATCAGCCTGCTCTTCACTTTGATTAGCTTAAGAAATTATAAGTATTTGCTGATATTTGTGGAATGTCTGTTTTCTGCAAAATTCTGTAGTTGCCAAAACAGAAGCTGCAGTCTCACTACTGCTTAAAAATTAGAAGATTACTTCTGACTTCATTTTTTTAGGCAGCTTCCGGGTAACGCTGAACAAACGTTTTATGGTTTACAAATGAAGTGCTGCTTCAGAAGAGTGTGTGTGTAAACTGTTTGAATGGGTGGTAGCCACATACCATTTTCTGTCAGCTATGCTAGGACATTATGGCAGCCCAAACCTGTATACGCTTCATACAGTTTTGACTGGTTTCCCATCTACTGTGTCTGAGGCAGTATCACTGCTAGCTAATTTTAAAGGGAGTGAGCTGGAGACAAGAAGAGGCTTTGGGGGAAAAGTATTTTAATCTTATTATAGACTAAGAAGACAGGAAAGCAACATCGTGTAGGATGACCAGTTTAAACACAATTAAATCTTACATAAGTTCTGAATCGTCTGTCTTTTTACTGTGATTTAAGGACAGTGAACATGGGTAGCATGTCAGGGCTGATTCTGAGATGTTTCTAGCTGCTGGAGGAATTAAAATCCATGTACGCTGACTGGGAACCTGTTCTGTTGTGTTTATAAACCTGGAACCAACAGTGCAGCTGTGCTCGTTATGTTATTTCTCCTGAACACATCGTGATTGTCCAAGACCCACTCCTCCTTCAATATGTTCAGAGCTTAGCCAGTTTTCATCAGGAGAAGATCTGGTCCTCAAAGTATGGTATAAATAAGAATGGCCCAAAAGGAAAGGCTTCAGATTTTAGGAAATGTGACGTTTTTTGTTTCACAAAACCCATTTTTGGTTAGAACGGAATAGAAATGTGTGTCGATAGTTTTTAAAAAAACCTGTGCCCTGAATTCTGCATCTGTCCCATGAAAAAGCCCATTCTGTCAGGCTAACTGCTCCTAGCAAGATTTAACGTAGCCAAGGGTACAGAGTCCATGGCACACCCATAAGTTGTGTTTATTACCTGGTGATCTCAGCGTCCAGCATCTCTGGCTCTGCCGCATACTCCCCAGGGTCTGTAAATTTGTAAATATTGTTTTAGGATATTTTCAGTGAAATTTAAGTAAATCTTCGAGATGCAAATATATTTGATGTTGCCAGCATTTACATAGCAGCAGCACTGAGGATTTGAAAACTTCTAAAGGTTTCAGGGCTCAGTCTTAGTGCTTATAAAAAAAAAATTTAGGCCTATTTGATGTGGTTTTCATTTCTAACTTAGTATGGGTGTATGGATGTGCCTCTGAGTTTTGTATCAGTTTTCTGTTTTTATTTCTGAAGAAATCAATTTTAATTCCATCAGAATGGCACAACAAAGATGCAGAGCAGCTGTGCTTCCACCTCAGACGCAGGATTCCTGGAACAGATCAAACAGATTTAGGAGCTGTGATGTCCTCCTTTATAGTCTTGCCATTTTTCAGCCAAAGCAAGGTGTCAATGAGATTTCTCCTTCATTTTGGGAAAGGACATATGACACTTAAACTAGTATGAATCCAATTAGTGAATGGCAAGTTGGAGAAAGACTAGGGCTCTAATTTGTGAAGGTCTGCTGCCTTTCTCACTTTATGCAAAGGATCTTTGTAGGAGAAAGATACCGCTTAGCTCTGGAGCAGCACGGAGGAAAATTAAATTTAGCTTTAGTGGGTAATGGTAGGTTCTGTCATTTTCAGTGTGGAACTTCATAAAACTAAGTGTGTTCTGCCAAGCCCCATTAACACTGATTGTGCTGCTATCAAGTATTTTATAGTGGGGCACAGTTTGCAGTCCTCACATGTTCTGCAAGGTGGCCCTGGAGGCAGAGTTGCCTCCTGAAATCTTTTAAAACGGGCCTAAAGCATCCTGGATGTGGCAAGGGTTATGGTCTTTGGCCCCAGATGCCTCTGGCTAATGTCAGGCCCCCAAGTGAAGAATTGAGGGTGAGCAGCCTGGTCAGCTGTGGCCCGATCTGTAATTATTGAGAACACCACCATTCAGGTTTTCAGAGAACTGCAAAATGTTCTTCTGTTTCTTTTCTTGAAGGGATGGGGAGCTCAAGTCAGCAAGTCAGGAGGAGAAAAGCAATGCAGAAATGGCTTTGCTGATTTCCTTCCTTATTCTTTCCAGAAAAAATTGATATCTGGAAAGTTTAGCATTCTTTGTCATGAACCTTAAGGTTTCTTTGGTGAGACAGGGAATTTTCTGCCTTGCAAGGTAAATCACAGGAGCAACACATTCAGTAAAGCTTCCCTTTTGTGCCTGCACAATTCAAGAAGGCTTTAAGATGCAAGATTCCACATTTTCTCCAGGCTAAGATGCAAACCCCATACACCATATCATGAGGAGTCACGACTGTTTTTCTCTGCCTATTTCTTGTCTATACTGTTAATCAAGCTGATGTGCTCATATATAAGCTCTTGTCAGAACTTCTGACTCCTGAATTATTATTACTGGTAGGTGACAACTGTCTGCTTCTGACAGTCTGTCTGTCCATATGTGTAGCTGCAGAGGTGCATCTGAACAGGGAGTGGTTACACAGAAAAGCCATTCAGAGAAACCTGCAATAAAGGCTCCATTTTGCTCAGTTTGTAGTCTGTGATGTATCTCCCATTGAATTTTATGCATGCAGGAGGCTCAGACTCAAAATAGGATAGCGTAATGTCCCTTTTTCCATAAAGAATACATTTCTATGTGAGCAATTCAAGTGATTTGTCAAACAAGAAGCAGAGGACTGTTTTTTAAAGAGATGAACCAAGGGGCTTTTGTGAGCTGCCAGCTGCATGTGCAAAGTGTCATTAGACTTTAAGAAAAAAGGGAGAGGTTTTTTGCACAGAGTATTTCATTAATCGCAGCTGCTCTGCTTGTAAGCACAGATTCCCCTTCCACTTTATGTTTTTTTAGGCTGCTGGAAGCACTTTGGCCTTTCTGTCTAACAGCCACTGGCCTTGGAAACCAAACGGGGTGGGTTTTGGAGGGGGATGGTGTGGTGCCTGGGGCAGGGGATTGCAGTCAGGCAGTTCAGCTGCTGCTACAGGGATAGGCACATTGAGGTCTGGGCAGCCAAGGGATTTATTCCTGTGCTTACCCTACTGACTGAACTGGCTCTGTTCAGACCCACAGCCTGGGGAGAAAGCCAGGATAGGGGACACTGGGTGCAACACAGGGCAGGGCTGTGTTTGAGCTTGAGGAGCAGCAGGAGCAGTGAAGGAACCCTGTTCCCAAAAGTGAGGGGCAGCTCCACAGCACTCATAGTGTTTTTTTAGGAACCACTTTGGGAACTGCATGTGATTTTTAACACCTGCTCCTCCTGAACCACAGTCAGTACCTCAGCATGTACTGTGTTGTGCAGTGCAGAGGTGCTCATAGGAGGCAGAGATAGCTTGGCCTTTCTGTACAGTCCTCTGATTTCTTGTTGTGGACATGCAAAAGGCATGACTCAGGGCTCCCCATCTCAGAGCACTGAGATTACAAATTTCTGCCATGATACAAATAACCAATAACTATTTCCACTCTTGTAGCCTTTGGATTTGGTATATTCTCTCACCCAGGTAAGAGTTAGCTGGGCAAAAATTACTCACTGTCTTGGAAACCCATATTCTTCATGGGTTCTTCATGTCCTTCAAAGGACATTTTTACCTTTACTTATTATGGATCCAAACAAAATACCACTGAGTTGAGGAAAGAACTCCCCTTGGCTTCCAGACAGCGCTCATTAACAGGGTAAAACCACCTGCTCCCCTCCTCCTCCCTTTTCAGTCAATACAATGGAAACATCATCATAATTGAGAATTTGTATAAACAGATTTAGCAGCTCTTTCTGCCTGCAGCATTACGGCGCAAGTGTCATGGAGGAGCCACAGCACTGCTGCTGGTCCTCGGCGTGTTTGGAGGGAGAGTGGCACATTCCCCAAAGCAGGGCAGCACTTCCCCTTGCGCAAATGCTCAAATGCTCAGAAGCTGGCAACATCATGTGAGTAAAAAGGGGACAGCGTTTGCCCCACAAAGCTGTCCCTCTGAGCTCTGCATATCTAAATGCTGCCCAGTGCAAGCAACTGAAGTGGTCGAGATGGGCAGATCGTCCCAGCTCTTGAGACTGCAGCTCTGCGTAGCCCTCCCCTGGCGGACAGCTAGGAAGGACAGATCCCGTCCTTTCTTATCTGCGGAGGCATTTCAAAGCAGGTGGAAAGGAACCCCAATAAAAATCTGTGCCACCTATGACTCTTTTAAAAAATGTGTCAATAAAAGGGCGTGCAGAATAGCATTGGCAGTGTGTTTTAGAAATAGAAACAGTTCTCAAAGACAAAGCAGAGTGAAATTTTCAAAACCAGTACAGATACTTTATTTAAACCAGCTGAAGGTAAAACTGACTTTCTTTCGAATCACGCTCTCCCACCTTAGGTTTTCACGAATGTTCATGCAAAATGTTTGCATTTATATAATGTTTATGGACAACTTGCTCTGCATGCTACTATATAGTTTACCTTTGAAGCAAGTTGTTCATAGGCGAAAATATTCTTAATTGTTTTCTATCCCCGTGTTTTAAACACTGAAATAATAGTGAAGAGGTGAACGTTGGAGAGAACAGCTGTGATTTGTGCCTATGACATGGGTCGCTTCATAGAAACCACAGTGGGTTTATCAATGAACAGCAAATAGGGCTAAATTGGAAAGGTCTGCTATTTGCCATTAATAATTCAAGCAAATGTGTTTCCACTAGCTCACATGTGACATTTTTCTCCAGTCAGCAGCACAGTATCTAAACCCTGAGCTGCTGGACCAGGTCTGCTTGCAGTCTCCATCATGTGGGCCAGTGCGCTGGGGAGGCGGAGTGGGGGTGAGGACCTTCTGATAAAATCTTGTCACCAGGAAGGTCCTAATGCAGTTTTTTCCCTCTGTGAGAAAAGGATCTCACCTGGCAGTGTCACTGATTTTTTTTGCACCCCAGCATCAGTCAAGACAATTTTTTAACAAAGCCATTTATTCTGCTCTGTGGCTTGTCGCTAGCCCACAGGTGACTAGATAATGAATGCCTAGCAACGGTGTATTTTTTTTCACAGTTCCTTGAACAAGGGCATGAGGGAAAACCTGCTTGATTGTTGAAAGAAATTTTTCCAGCAGCTGAATAAGAAATCTGTATCGCTGTCCTCTCTGCCCCCTTTGTAAAAGGAACTCACATGAGATCTTCACCCTTTCGTGATCAAGACGCTGTGTATGTTTGAGGCCAGTCATTTTCTTTCATGGGGCTGCCTTTATAAATATATTCTTCCAAGTACAGCAGGAAAAAGAATGTGTTCTCACCCCTTTATTAATGTTACATTTACCTTTGCCAGAGATGAAGAGAGAAAGAAGATGATTAAAACAAAACAATTCTGCTGCCTCCCGGGATGGTTCATCTGGTACTCCATCTAGCCTTTATAATACAGCACTGCTAATTGCATGAATCCTTAGCAAGCTATAGGAGCAATGCCAGTTTTAATGCACAGAGTGGATTGATGTGAGCAGTAGGACGGATTCATATTGATTCAACATCTCAAACTTAAAAAAACCTGACAGCAGCACAGGTTTCACTAGTTTCTCTGCTGCTGTGGTATTTTTTTTTAAATTACATTATATTGTCCATATTTGTCTTCTCTGCGGTTTAATTTCTGTGATGAATTAGGAGAAAGGAAAACACGATCTGCTTCCTGCAGGACTGCCTCAGAGCCACTGCCAGTTAAAGGACCTCTGTTAAGAGCTGTAAAGCACTTCAGGGACGCCAAGGGTTCTTGAAATGCCATGTGCCAGCCCCAACCTGGACCTCCATGTCGGAGCAGAGACATTTCCCACTTGAGCAGAAAGCAGTAGCTCTGTGAGCTGACAGCTGGAGCACCTTGTCCACTCTCCAGGGAATCGGGCACTGGAGGAGAGGGATGTGCATCCCTTGGGGCTAGCCAGCTGGGCCACAGCTCCCTGCTGAGGAGTGCATTGGCCCTTGTGGCTCCCTTCTGTGACTCCAGCTTGATGCAGCCACCTCTTTCCACAGCATTTTTTTTTTTTTTGTGGGTAAGGATATGCTGCCGATACTTGTTTGGATAGCAAAGAGGCTTTGTTCTGTGGGGTTCAAAATAACAGGTAGCGCACTGTCAAGTCACAAAAATAAAGGAATTAGTGTTGATCTTATTTTTACACTGTTCCATCAAGAGACTGTGTCTACTGACTAATAGTTGGTAACAAGGCAGAACCTGTTTGACAGGGTTAAAAAGAAAAGGTCTGAATAACTTTACAGCCAAATGAAGTAGAAGTATGCATGTTAACCTCGGAGCAAGCATCGCTCATATTGCAGAGGGGAAATTGATTATCTCCTGCTTCAGGAAGGAATGAGCTCATCCGAGTATCCGAGCACAGCACTCTATGGTTTGCCACGGAATGGTTTTCCTCTGAAGTGCTGGAAACTGACTATGAGGCAAAACCGAGATCGCGGTGATCCAGCTCAGTTCAGTGCAATGCGTTAGTTCACGTGGTGTCTCTGTCTTCCCTTTTGCAGCCATGGGACAAGGTGTGCCGGAGAGGTGTCTGCTGCTGCCAACAACAACATCTGCGGCGTGGGAGTTGCGTACAACTCCAAGGTGGCAGGTATGGTAGCAATTCAAGGTGTAAATTGTACTTACGCCAGTGTGCCTCAGGCAGAACTTCTGCAGAGACAGGGAGCATTGCCCAGGACAGGACTGCAGGTTTGCACTGGGCCACGTATTTATTACTTTTCACAGTAGCTGGGGAGAGGAATTTCTCCATGGCTTTGCCTTTTCAATTGAGGGCCCTACATAGCCTGTTATAATAACATTGCCAGCTCCTGTTTTTGTACTGATTTTCAGTGCTTCTTCCCTACGTAGTTGCAGAATCATTTGTAACAAATCCCATTTTGCAGGAGGTAAAATATAAATTCCCACTGCACTTAGAAACTATTTTAAAAGGCAAATCCTGTGCTGCTCTTATTCTTTAGGCTCTCACAAGGCAGGGCCTGCAGAGCTGTAAATCTCCGCAGACACTGGTTTCCTCTATTTTGACAAACGATGAAGAATGGTAGGAGCAGATGCACAGAATGAAATGGGTGGTGCCTAGCACCCAGCATTCACTCCTCGGGTGTGTTGGGTATTTTTACTTCTAACTAGCTCTTGTCTGCACTGACAGACTGAATACAGTGATTGGAGTGAGTTAGGCTCTTGGACAGCATGCGTGAGTTTAGTTTAATCTGAAGAAAGCCAGTTTTCCCACTCTAAGACTGTTCCGTGATGAGAACCAAGGCACAGCGAGCAGAGAGAGATGCTTACAAATTTCACTTTCATTCCCTGATCCACACCAAAACGCCAGCGTGGATGCACCCATTGCTTCCTGGGAATGGTTCGCATTGCGTGTACATGGGCAGCTCTGCTCTACTTGGCCAGTGCCTATTTCACCATGGTGTCAGAGGAACCTGGGGAAGGCTACCTTTCACCTGTTGCCTACATGATCAAAAGCTGAATCTCCACGGTAGAAGGGCACCAAGCAATGTTTGCTAAGCCATTACCCCACGAAATATCACTGAGAGTTAGTAACTGGCCTAGTGCTTGTCCCCTTTCTTCGGTAATGGTAACGTCCCCGTCAGGGATGGGACATTCCACAAAATTTACAGTCTGGCAATAGCTACTTTTAGAGGAATGTGAATCGAGGCATGGGCTTTTGGCTGGACCTCATTTGTATTATTAGTATAACTCTACAACTTCAAGCTGGTTGCTTAAAGATCAAGAGGTGGAGACCTTCTCTGATGACCAGCAGCCTACAAATAGCCTTCCATACTCGTCCACTTAGTAGCAAAATCCCCACCGATTTTTGGTAGAGCCAGCCCTTCCAGCCTGAGGCCAGTGTGCACCTGCAGCACCACCGTGTGGTCAGTGGGAACTTGGAAGTTCATCAGAGCTGAGAGTCTGCTGCTGGCATGATTCAAGGTCCATGTTTGCAGGTGGAATTGGAAGTTTGTAGCCAAGGTTCTGGGGCATCATCTGTTTTCCTTCCTGGACCTCTTTTTTGCCCTGAAGTCAAACCAGCTGGCTTGGCTCCTCCTGTTGTTCCCCCACCTCCCTGGGGTCAATAATTAATTCTGTGGTTTTAGTGCATTTTACAAGCATGTGAAGGGATTTCTCACTCCTTGAGCTTGACTTCATAATTTCTAGCTTGAATTAGCAGATCAGGAACATCCAGCTTTGGTCTGGTTGCTATTTGAAGTTTATATGCCACTTATTCCAGCTTCACATTTGGCACATGGATTTTGTACTGAATATAGTAAAAGTCCAGTTTCTAAATCAGGGTCCTCACTGCGATTCACACTGGCTCTGTGGTGTCGATTTCTGTCCTATCTGTATCCAGAGACCCTTGGGAAAAACTGAACTTCAACTCAAGGCTACAAAGGAGAGTTGCAATGTGTCCCTGGTTACTCAGGTCTTATCCCATGGCTGCTGAGAGGTTGGCTATCGGTGAACCTGTCCTATGTGTGGGGCATGGTGGATGTGATGGCTTGCACTGCTGTCTTTGTTGCGCTCTCTGGCTCACTTATGGCCAACTTTGAGGTTTTATGAAGTTAGCATGTCCTAGGATTGTATCAATTAATTTGATTTCTGCTGCGGTATGGGTTAAAGGAAGTAGGTTTTACTTTGCTTTTTTTTCTAAATACCAGCCGTATTTTTCTATTGCATCTGCGTGTTGACACAATGATATTTTTCCAGGAAATTGTTGTGTAGTGTGTTTGCCCTCTCTGATTAAATTCTGGAGAAGAACCAAAATAAACAGAAAAATTACTTGAAAAACGAATGAAGTGTCAACGCATCACTGAGTATAAATTAGAGATGGGGGGGCCAATCCATTTCCCTAGTTGTTACAAAATACTGGTTTAAATACTATTAATACTGTTTAAATGCTATGAAATGCTACAATTGCTGAGTACTACTGTTTTAAAAGTGTTCTGAAATAGTAGATGGAAAATACTATGTAAATAGTAAGCTAACAATAAAGTGCTTTCTCTCTCTGGGTCACGCTGCATTGCTGGGGCTGGGTGTTTGAGTGCTCCCATCCTGCTGGGTAAGCACACCCTGGTGAAATGTGAATGGCGAGCACAGAATTATTGAAGTGGGTAAAACTGCCAGTGAATTAAAATACCTGTAACTGGGGGACTTCTCCAGGTGCTGAGATTTCATCTTGTGCTGGGTAATGCATAATTCATGTTTCTGTTGATTAAATCTACAGGTATTCGAATGCTCGACCAGCCATTTATGACAGACATTATTGAGGCTTCCTCTATCAGTCATATGCCTCAAGTCATAGATATATATAGTGCCAGCTGGGGACCAACTGATAATGGAAAGACTGTGGATGGACCCAGAGAACTAACACTGCAAGCGATGGCAGATGGTGTGAACAAGGTAACAGTCGTCTTAAATAATCTGGCTACTGGGGCAGAATGATATGTACACGCTTGTGTTGAAACCAGTGCCTTGACATGGTCCTCCCATAGATGTTGCAGAACACGATGCAATTGCGTAAACTATCGCAGCTTTCAGCATATTCCAAGGGGCACTGATGTTCTCTCTGCAATATTGTGGCATTGCTTTTATGGTGTAGTCTTGGGATGCTGTGCTCTCTTGCATGGAACTGTGTTTATTTCTAGTCAGCTTATATATGCTTTTCATATGCCATAGCAGTCAAAATGGAAGAGACTGATCCTGTAAATATTCCCCACGTTGAAACATCCAGCTGTACTACTGACATGACATTGTCTGATTTGATGTGCTACCAATTTAATTATCATTTTGGATTTGTAGTGTCTTTCAGGTCACTCATATATGGTCATTACTATAGCTGTGATTGAACCACAACTGTTCAGATGTCCATGGAGTGATATTATTTCCCAGGAGCAGGAGCCTCCTTCTTTATTCCCACCTTTCCACCTCCTTCTAGGAACAGTCTGTGGTCTCTGTTAAAGACACTCAATATCATCCTGGAATCTCTTAAATCTGTACTCTGTTAGAATGTTCGGTAAAATGTGTGCCACAACTCAAAAAGAAAACAAATTGTTTTCTGTAATTGAAAAGATCTGAAATTCCCCAGAACATCTCGGGTGATTTTGTGTAGGAGCTCCGCAATTACTCATTTTTCCATCCAAATTATTTCTTCCTCGTACGTGTGCCAGTTTCTCCCACTCTTCATCACCACCTCGCTGTGAGCAGCACGTTCAGATTGCCATGTTTTGTGACGTGATAATTAAATCTACTGCTGTGGTAGGTAGTGAAACATCTAAAGTTTTCTCAAATCCTAAGCCTCAAATGTTTTGCCTATAACAGGTGAATTATAGTCATCTTCCTGCTCTCGCCCATAAAATTGGCGATGTACTGCAATAACATAGGAGGACTTGTCACAGATTTCTCCTTGGTCTGCTCAGTTTTGTAGAATAAACTGTACAAACCTCTGACAAGCCCGAAGTCCCTCTGAAGTCATCTTACACAGGCTGTGTTTCTTCTCATGACTTTCTTTCATTTATCTGGTGTTCCCTTAAAGGTCCCCTTAACTACTGCTGTCTTGGGAGAATCTTTCTTAGGTATGTGACACAGCTGATATATTTTTAGCGACACCTTGATGTCTTAGTGGATACTTGATCTTCCTTCCACTCATGTTGGTTGGAGCAGACAGAAACTCTTGAGTATAGAAAAATTCCCATATAATTTTTGTGTTATTCTCCTCCCATGCAGAACTCTTCTAAAAGCAACAGAAAAGGCACTAATAACCCTGTCAGGGGAGTGCAAACTAAACTAAATAGAGGTATTTTACCCTTTCAGGAGAAGCAGATTTTAAACTGTAGTCATGTTTTTTTGCAGTTTGGTATTTAAAAGATCTTTCAATTAACATGCTATTGTGTCACCATATGCTTTATTTTGCGGAGTTACACTGGAATTAACCTGCTCTTTGAATGTTAAGTATCAGGGAAGGGATTTTTCTCTTCTGTTTTATTCTCTGGTCATAGTCCCATACTGGGGAGTGTTGGGCATATTACTTTTTTAATGCCTTCCTCTCAGAAGTGTTTGTAATTCTTTTTAAGAAATAATTTGCAATATTAAGATCAGAAAGGACCCTGAGATCTCGCGGGTTGAACGCTTGTGAAGGAGAGAGAATGGTGGCGGTGAGCTGTGCTTTGGGAAGGATTGCTCTCGTACCTTACCAGAAAGCATAAAATTAACAGGCGAGCCTACACTAGGAAACCAGTTCTGTCAAACAGCCATTGCAGAATTAGAGAGCAGAAGGAATGATATTGGGTTCTACCTAAGAAAGATATTGTTGTCCAGGAACAATTGCACTTCATTTTATAGTGGCAGTATCCCAGCTACCTTCTGGCAATACGCGCACGAAAGAAGACAGCTCCACCCCAAGTAACTCCCTTTGCATAGTGACCATAGCTTTATCTACCCTTATTTTGCTTGTTGCATTTCCTGTCACAGAAGGGTTTTTTTGGGTATAGTTTGTTCTGATCTCTGTTTTTGTGGAGAGCCAGATTTTCTGAAGATGTTTCAAGATGTCAGTGGATGCTTTGAAAAACCCACTATAGCCTTTCCTGTGTGTAAAGGAAGACCAACCAGCCTTTGATATTATACCCTTTTACCTAATTTAGGTCTGTAATATATGCACCAAATTCTCTATTGACTGTACAAATGTAAATCTAATTTATGATCATTTTTCAGAATAAACCCCCTTCTTATTAAAGAGAAAAGTACCTTTTATAAACTGAGAGACAAATAAACGTAGGAATTCTTTTTCTCAGACTAGGGCTGATTCTCACCAGAGTGATGGTTCGTGAATTAGTGATGAGGCTGAAATATTGGCAGGGAGGAAGCAACATGCTGAGAATAAAAATGTGTTATTAAACTAAAAGCAATACTTTCAAATGTCCTGGAAGGAAATCTAAGATCTCTTGCACAGAGCAAGATTAATATCCTTGCTTCTAATGCAATAAACTAAAAATAAATAAGTGGGAGCGATAGGAAATTCATTCGGGGAATATGCAGATAACTGAGTTGACAAACACAGGTAACATTTACCTTATTGGCAGCATGTTTGGGAACCCAGCTCAGGGATAAACTCACTGACAAGAGTTCCATCCTTCCCCAAACTCTGTTGAATTGTCGTGTCCTTTTGAAGTCCTCCTTCCAGAGCTGCTGGGATGCTGGGGTCACCCGGTAAACGATAAGATGATGTTAACTGCAGGAACTGTGAGGCTTCTGGTTTCTATGTTTGGTTTTGTGGCTCAAAGCCGCGCAGCCATAGCCAGGTGGGCTAAGGCTGATACATCTTCTTACCTTTCCTTTTCTGTCTCCCATCCCTGACATTTGTTAAGCTGATTCTTACCTTCTGTCTTAATCTTACCTTCACTTCAGCATTCTCTTTGCTTGTAAGGTAAATAGTGTAAATAAAGGCAGCACTAAAATAGCATAATTAAGGACAGCAGAATCTGTCCATCACATTGGGACCTCTTTCATGGGCTCTTTTATGTAAACTGCTTTTCTGAGGCTGAACACAGAAGGGGTGGCGTGTGCATGAACTTGGTGTCAGTGTAAAACACGTAATCAGAAGGCATTGGGGACTCAAGCTGCTTTATACTATTAAGCCACGATCTCACTCATTTTTAGTGCAATCTATGCTTCACTCTGTTATCCCAGGACTTTTGTTCAGGGGCAGTGTGACTAGGTCACTGAATAGTGGTAGTTGCACTGAAAAGATAAATGAGCTCACAGCTGAATTAGCAGGTGCTTGAGAATAGGGATTGAAAGAGTTTCATACACACAAGCATCCACAAGCAGTTTCGCAATTACTGGCACTGGTTTGACACAGGCGAACAATCTTACCTAATGCAAATTCCAGCTGCTAGAAAACATTTGGGATGTAATTGGAAAGGACTTAATACAGCTTCTGGTTTTCAAAGACCAGGTTGAAACTTGTATCTAGTACCTGCCTAATGAGGAGGTCTTGTGCTCGCCCTTGGCTGTGAGGGACCTGATATTGGCTGCCAGCTGTAACAGGAGATGCGCTCGGGTCAGGTATCCATTCGTGTAGTCTGCAGCAGGCGAAGGGGCTGTTCTGTCTGGTGAAAGAGGTACACAGAGAATGTGCTCTGTCGCTTGCTCTGTTTCTCTAAATACACTTGCCCGGAGCAAAAAGTGGATATCCCTAATGAGATTTTATTATCTGGCCTCTAGACTCTGTCTGAGCCACATCTGTGGTCAGCAGCAGGTTATGGGGTCTAGGGAGAAAAGTTATATATTTCTTTACAGCCTCAGTAAATCACCTAACGTTTTTCTGGGCTGTACTGGGATGTCTTAGCCCTGCACCAAGACCTGGCTGCTCATGTGCTCAGTTTCACCACTCCTAATCACTCTGTGTCACGTATTTGCAGATAAATTTCTTTGATGAGCTATGGAGGGATTTTGTTGCAGGTGCTGAAATACAAACTCAAATTTAGAGCAGAGCAAGAAACCAGGATGATGGACTTAGGAGCAAGCAGCCCAGCAGTGTTGAGCACACCTACCTATCTCATCTGATTGAGCGGTACTTTCATTTCAGAGAAGGGGGAGTGAGCCAGTAGCATTTTATATATCGTATGGCTGGACAAAGCAATGCTTTGTGATTTACATATCCCTTGTCTGACCTGTGCTTACCTATTTTCAGGACTAGTCCTCTTGGAGGGGGAGGTAGGGATGGTAGATGGGATTCCTGTGACAGCACAAGTCTCTTTAGATGTAGACTTTTTGTCCTCTGGTACCTTGCATCCAGAATCGTATCAGTAGTCATCTTAAACAGGAAAAGGTAACTAGCTCAAGAACTAATTCCACCCATGTTTTATCGTACATCCTGTCTTTAATGCAATATCCGGTAAATGTTTATTTGCCATTTTATGAGTCCAGCTCTTTCCAGCTTTAGCTATTGGAATTTAAGGCAGTAAAAAGAAGTAATCAAGCTAAGCTGATCTCTACCTATTGCATTTTTATGACATAGGCTTTTATATTAGTATGTTGTGAGGAGTTGCTCATGGACTGAATTAATTCTTGAGACTTTGACGGCTCAGCCAGAATATATAAGATGTGATCCATTTGTGCTTGTGCTAGTGAAAATGTTATTGCTTCCATAATGTGTTTCTACCTAAGAAAATGCTGCACAAGGACAAATTGCCAGGGGAGCAATATTAAGAATTTATAGTCTCATCATGGCTCTGTAATTGGGCTCACCAATGAAAGAAGAAAGGACAGTGTTAAAAACAAAAGGAAGTATTTCTCATTTGCCTCTCTCCAAGGCCACAGACATTGTGTTATTGTTCTTTGAAATATGCTGAAGATAGCACGTTAATAAAGTATATGCAGTTACATACCTCTAACATCGTTTT